ACAGGGACAAGAGGAAGTCTTTAAAGTGAGGATCACATAAAACTCCTCTCTCTTGGTGACTACTGGATTAAAGGACATTAAACCCACCAAATGGTGGGCTTACATGAGGGGGGCCACCACATGGGCGGCAAGAGATCTGTAAAGAGAACACCGTCACCCTCATTTTGGTGGAATCCTAAAAGCTGCTTGTTGCATTCTGAAAAGCGTACCTCCCCCCCTTGCCCAAATCCATCTTCTTGTCCTTCATTGTTCTTCCAGTCTATACTTTCATACATTGCAAAGCAGAGGTGAGCAGCTCTGCCACATAGTGATGCTGCAATTGTCCCTGAGGTCTTAGAACACCTTCAGACATTCTCAGACTGTTGACAATCACAACTGAGTTGCAGCATGGATGTGGTCACCAGCTGGTTGGATGGAAACCTTTGCCATGGCCTCTAGCTCACTGCAACCTTTCTATCGCCTCTCTATTGTGGGCCTGTTGCCAGTGTTGATCAGCCAATGTGGTGGAGCGCTTGACCATGGGGACCAAGGATCAGGGTATCACTGTCTTTTGCATTTCTCGCTCAAGTCTGAGGCATTGCTGGACGTTGGAGTCATGACAAGACACCCTGGAGAATACACTGTGTAGATTGCACAAGAAGGCTGGTTATGGAAAGGTTGGCAAGCTGTCCTTCATTACTAATTTTGTCGCCAAAGATCGAATGTTAAGTTCCCCGGGAACCCAAGAGCTTCCTGGAAAACAGTTTGAAAAACTGAAGATCCAAAACTGTTATCACCTTCATTTCATTTCAACCTCTGGTTTTTTTGCCTTGAAATAACTATACTTAGTAATAATAATAATAATAATAATAATTTTAACCCATCCTCTTTCCCTGAAGGAACTCAGGGAGGCTTTCAAAATAGTTGAGGAAAATCTTCATCAGCTATTTGAAATCCCAAAGGAATTTTCAGTGTTAAAAAGAAAACTGCATATGTTATCTAGTAGTGTCAATTGCAATATTAACATGTCATATATGTTTAATCTGTAACAGTGCTTGTGGGAAGTAATTGTAACCATAAGCACTCAGTACAGAAGAAAACGCTACCTTTAGCAATGCATGGGAATATTTCTAAATAGAGAATAAAGTGGTACATATATATTAAATCTAAATAAGTCCTGGTTTTTATTGTAAACTTTGTGATTGCCAGCAATCTGCATAAAATAGCTTTTTAATGGGACTGGCATTTCAAATCAACTATTCATCTTAGAGACATAAAAAGTGGCTGAATGTTCTCTTTGGAAAGGCAAACAGCACGTTTTCTAACTGGATTTTTCTAACATCTTTTCAATAAGCTGGCAGGATTTTAACAAATGCACACCACTTACTGAGTATAATTCTACTCAACAAAGGCACAAAAAATAGTATACCACTATTTTAAAATAATTATGCGTTTATTTTAGACAATCTAGCAAAGACAAGTAAAAGGTGCAGCCAAGACCCATACAGTACTGTACTCCATTTCTTTACAAACACACAGAGAGAGAGTATGTGTGTGAGAGAGCAGAAAAATGATAATCCCTTCTTAGTGGAAAATCCAAATTTTCAAATGAATCCCCCAGCTAAAATGAATTACTGTAATAACCAGAATCCTCCCATGTTCAGCTGCTCAACAAAGGCACAGCTGACCACCTGCTATGTTACATCTTCCAGGCAGCAGTTTTTCTATTTCTCAAATGCTATTCACTTCAGTCCAGCCCGAATGAATCTGTTGGCAGATTATTAAAAACATGGACAAATAGCTAGGGGAGCCATGGGAAGGGTTCTCCTTCCGGACAGTGTCTCTACACTTCTTTCTACTGAGCACAGCCCACAGAGGAGCCTCTGCAGTTCTTTAAAAAGGAAGAAGGTAAACAGACAGAACCAGGCCAAATACATCATGGCTTCAACTGAGGAAACACCACACATGCCTGGAACTGTCCATTGGAAACCCCATGAGCTCCCTATGTGTTCAATTGTGCTATGCAGCGAGGAAACACTTTAAAAAAAAGCTGCACTGTCCACAGACGCAACACAGATCTTATGCTTCAAACTGCATGTGAAAACAACCAGGCAAAGTGTGGAATCCAAATCAATACATTGTTCATTGATTCAAAACATGGAAGGGGGAGGGGAGATAAGCAAACAACTCCTGATGAAGAATGCATCACACTGGTAGGAGATTCAGCATAAATACTGTCTTTCTTCTACTGGACGACACCATCTATTGTAAGATGCGCACTAATTTCAGCATCACCAAGAGAAACAAAAAGCTTTATTAAGAGCACCCGTGATTCAAGGGGCCCTTCTACACTGCCATAGAAAATCCAGATTATCTTCTCTGAACTGGACTATCTGGCAGTGTAGACTCATATAACACAGTTCAAAGTGACAATGAGGATCATCTACTGGATTATGGGACAATTTAGAAGAGGGCTGAAGCCCCTTCTGCACAGCTAAATAAAATCCCGCATTTTCTGCTTTGAACTGGTATATATGGCAGTGTGGACTCAGATAACCGAGTTTAAAGCAGATATTGTGGGATTTTCTGTCTTGATATTCTAAATTATATGGCTGTGTGGAAGGGACCTGAGTGAGATGTTTATATGGGGGGAGGGGGAGGAGTGTATCTTAGAACTGAAGACGTAGGCCCTTCCACACTGCCATATAACCCAGAATATCAAGGCAGAAAATCGGCTTTGAACTGGGTTATCTGTGGGCCCTTCCAGACAAGCTCTATATCCCAGGATCTGATCCCAGGTTTTCTGTTTATCTCAGATTACCTGGCAGTGCAGACTCATATAATCCAGTTTAAAGCAGAAAACCTAGGATCAGATCCTGAGATATGGGGCCAGTCTGGAGGGACCCTGAGTCCACACTGCCATATATTCCAGTTCAAAGCAGATGATGTGGGGTTTTATTCAACTGTGTGGAAGGGGCCACAGTTGTATAAAATCCACATTGAACTGGGTTATTTGACAGTGTGGACTCTGGGCACTTCCACACAGTCATATAACCCACAATATCAAGGTGTAGGGGTCAGACAGCACCCCCTATCTTTGGGATCTTCTGCCTTACCACTATGAATCATCCAGACGTCCAAACGATTGAAAACAAGTACAGATTTATTCTCCTAACTGCAGTTTGAGGGCGAGCAGACATACACAGAGCAGAAAATCACACAATAACTGCTTTGAACTGAAATATATGGCAGTGTGGACTCAGATAACCCACTTCAAAGCGGATATTGGAGACTATCTGTCTTGATATTCTAGGGGCCCTTCCACACAGCCCTATATCCCAGAATATCGAGGCAGAAAATCTCACAATATCTGCTTTGAGCTGGAATATATGGCAGTGTGGACTCAGATAACCCAGTTCAAAGCAGATATTGTGAGATTTTCTGCCTTGATATTCTGGGTTATATGGCTGTGTAGAAGGGCCCATAGGTAATCCAGTTCAAACCTGATACTGGCGACTATCAACCTAGATATTCTGGGGGCCCTTCCGCACAGCCCTATATCCCAGAATATCAAGGCAGAAAACCCCACAATATCTGCTTTGAACTGGGATATTGACACTCAGATAATGTGGGATTTCATGACTGGGAAATTCTGGGATATACGGCTGTGCGGAAGGGCCCTCAGATAACCCAGTCCAAAGCAGATATTGTGGGGGCCCTTCCACACAGCCCTGTATCCCAGAATATCAAGTCAGGAAATCCCACCTTATCTGATTGTGGAGTCAGATAACCCAGTTCAAAGCAGATATTGTGGGATTTTCTGCCTTGATATCCTGGGATATAGGGCTGTGTGGAAGGGCCCATAGATAATTCAGTTCAAAGCTGATACTAATGACTATCCACCTAGATATTCTGGGGGCTCTTCCACACAGCCCTATATCCCAGAATATCAAGGCAGAAAATCCCACAATATCTGCTTTGAACTGGGATATCTGGGTCGACATTCAGATAATGTGGGATTTCATGACTGGGAAATTCTGGGATATACGGCTGTGCAGAAGGGCCCTCAGATAACCCAGTCCAAAGCAGATATTGTGGGATTTTCTTCCTTGATATCCTGGGATATAGGGTTGTGTGGAAGGGTCCTGAGTGTGGAGTCAGATAACCCAGTCTTAAGCAGATATTGTGGGATTTTCTGCCTTGATATCCTGAGATATAGGGCTGTGTGGATGGCCCCTCAGTGTGATAACCCAATTCAAAGCAAATATTGTGAGATTTTCTGCCTTGATATCCTGGGATATAGAGCTGTGTGGAAGGGTCCTGAGTGTGGAGCCAGATAACCCAGTTCAAAGCAGATATTGTGGGATCTTCTGCTTTGATATCCTGGGATACAGAGCTGTGTGGAAGGGTCCTGAGTGTGGAGTCGGATAACCCAGTTCAAAGCAGATATTTCTGCCTTGATATCCTGGGATATAGGGCTGAGTGGAAGGATCCTGAGTGTGGAGTAAGATAACCCAGTTCAAAGCAGATATTGTGGGATTTTCTGCCTTGATATCTTGGGATATAGGGCTGTGTGGAAGGCAACAACATCCAGCACGAGATTGCAGCAATGCTGGCAAATTGGTATGAAGGGCAAGCAAAGCATTGCACATTACACTTCCTTTCTGTCTTGTTTTGGTTGCTGCTCTTCGGAGGCGCCAAAACGGAGGAGAAAACACGCACATCGCTCTCTCTCCCCCCCCCCCCTTTTCCTTCTTTCCTTCCGTCAACAGAAGGCTTTCCCTGCAGAAGAGGCACAGCGGCACCTATCTCTCTCTCCCCCCCCCCTCCCTCTTCGCCTCGCGCCGCCGCATCCTTCCTGCCCTGTGCCAATGGGGCTGAGGGGAGAGAAAGGTGCGCGCGCGCTGCTGTCACTGAGGAGAAGGGAACGGGCCTCTTTGTGTGCTTCGTGACTCCTCAGGAAGGAGGCCGAGGAGGGCGAGTGCCGCAGAGCCGGGGGCCGAGGAGGAGGGAGGCCTTACCTGGAGAAAGCCGGGCTGGGACCAGAGCATGCTCTTCGTCCGGGGCAGCGGCTTCAGAGGCGACCCCACGTGCGGCTCATGGCCCAGTGGCTGCAGTCGGGGCCTGTCTTCCTTCCTTCTTTACCGAGGCCTCCTCTTCTTCCCTCAGCAGCCCCTCCGAGCCGAGCCAGGCCAGGCCAGGCGCCCCCTCTCCTCTCCTCTCCTCCCCTCCCCTCCCCTCCCCTCAGGCGCAGCAGAGACGGAGAAGCCGCGGCGTGCGTAGATGGATGGGCTGAGGCTGACGCCGCGAGCACGAGCGCTGCCTCCGCCGAGCCCGGCCTTGGCTCCGCCCCCTTTTGGGTACCAAGCGGTAGGAACCAATCCCCGCGCGCGCCGGGTGGGAAGGGGCGGGGCCTCCCCACCTCCCTCCTCCCGCTCGCCTTAAATGACAAGAGCCGACCCGCTTCTCGCCTCAGAGCGCAGCCCCTGCCCTCTCTCTCTCTGCCTGTGACACCCTCCTGGCCGCCCATGCTGTGCTCGCTGCCACAGCATGGTCCAGGCCCCTTCCACACAGCTATATAAAATCCCATATTTTCTGCTTCGAAGTGGAATATATGGCAGTGTGGATTCAGGGTCCTTCCACACAACCAGGCATGTAGCGGGGGGGGGGGGGGCTTGAGGGGCTTCAGCACCCCCCCCCCCAAATTCTCATGGTGGTTCGCGAAAGGCCTTACTGGTACATTATTTAAACTGTTATGTTTATTCATATCATGATCTGATCACCATACTCAATATATCCCATATGCATGGAGTATTGGGGTAACACACCCAAATACCTGGGAGTCACTTTGGACCATGCTCTGACCTACAAGAAGCACTGCCTGAACATCAAGCAAAAAGTGGGCGCTAGAAACAACATCATACGAAAGCTGACTGGCACAACCTGGGGATCACAACCAGACACAGTGAAGACATCTGCCCTTGCGCTGTGCTACTCTGCTGCTGAGTATGCATGTCCAGTGTGGAACACATCTCACCACACTAAAACAGTGGATGTGGCTCTTAATGAGACATGCCGCATTATCACGGGGTGTCTGCGCCCTACACCACTGGAGAAATTACACTGCTTAGCCGGTATTGCGCCACCTGACATCCGCCGGGAAGTAGCAGCCAATAGTGAAAGGACCAAGGCAGAGACATCTCCAGCTCATCCCCTGTTTGGGTATCAGCCAGCACGTCAACGACTTAAATCAAGACATAGTTTTCTAAGATCTACAGAGACACTCGCTGGAACACCCCATCAAGCGAGAGTCCAAAAGTGGCAGGCTCAAACCCAGAACCTCAACCAATGGCTGATACCAAATGAGAGACTCCCCCTGGGCACACAGAGGACTGGGCGACTTGGAAGGCACTGAACAGACTGCGCTCTGGCACCACGAGATGCAGAGCCAACCTTCAGAAATGGGGCTACAAAGTGGAATCCTCGACATGCGAGTGTGGAGAAGAACAAACCACTGACCACCTGCTGCAATGCAACCTGAGCCCTGCCACATGCACAATGGAGGACCTTCTTGCAGCAACACCGGAAGCACTCCAAGTGGCCAGATACTGGTCAAAGGACATTTAACCAGCTACCAAACTCACAAGTTGTGTATTTTTCTGTTTGTTTGCTTTGTTCTGTTAGACTGGTTGTTCTGACACGACAAATAAAATAAAGGCAGGAAATCTCACTTTATCAGAGTGGACTCAGATAACCCAGTTGAAAGCAAAATATTGTGAGATTTTCTGCCTTGATATCCTGGGTTATCGGGCTGTGTGGAAGGACCCATACAGTACCATTTGGGCAACAACATCCAGTCTGGGCGACTAAAATGATCAAGGGTCTGGAGAACAAGCCCTATGAGGAGCGGCTTTAGTCTGGGCAGAGGCGGCCCTAGGTAATTTTCAACGGTAAGCAAACACTATTTTTTTGGCCCCCCCCCCCCCCCCAACCAATCATTGATATATATTTTCTGTTCGTCGTGGGAGTTCTGTGTGCCATATTTGGTTCAATTCCATCATTGGTGGAGTTCAGAATGCTCTGTGATTGTAGGTGAACTATACATCCCAGTAACTACACTTGCCGCACTTGCTCCCTTGCCTGGCCCGCTTTGGGCGTGCCTGAAGACCCCGGCGTGTGCACCAAAAGTCACCTCTTCTCCTGACGTTCTCCTCAGCCATTGGGACCAAGAGAGAGAGAGAGAGAGAGAGAGAGGTGGAGATGCCCACCTTTCCTGAAGGTAGGCGCAAAAACAAAGGAGGGAGCGGAGGTGGGAGATACCTCCAGCTGGAGGGGCTCTCTCTCTCTCTTGGTCCCAATGGCTGAAGAGAAAGTCAGGAGAAGAGGCAACTTTTGGTACACATGCTGGGGTCTTGAGACATGCCTCCGGACCTGAAGCCCACCCGTGGATTGGGGAGAGGAGAGGAGGCGGGTGGAGCGCTGGGGGAAAGGGAGCCGGTCATGGGTAAGGGATCGAATGCGGAGAACGATTGAGCGCCGGCACTGCTTGCGCACCCGGTGGCCAGGTGGAGCAGGAATGAGAGGGGCTAGGCGAGGCTCAAGGGCCCGGCCCCTTTGGGAACAGGATCGCCCGGCAGCGAGGCAAGAAAGCCAAGGCTCCCCCTGGACTGCTAGGGCTGTTGTGAGCTGAGGGGGCGCTCCTCAAGTGGCGGTCGAGGGGCATTTACAGAGGCATCTCTGCACCCCTGGCAAAAAAAAAAGTGTTCTGCGACCGCTTACTTCGCGTAATGGACAAGCCGCCCCTGAGTCTGGGTGACTAAAATGATCAAGGGTCTGGAGAACAAACCCTATGAGGAGTGGCTTAAGGAGCTGTGCATGTTTAGCCTGAAGAAGAGAAGGCTGAGAGGAGACATGATAGCCATGTATAAATATGTGAGAGGAAGCCACAGGGAGGAGGGAGCAAGCTTGTTTTCTGCTTACCTGGAGACCAGGATGCGGAACAATGGCTTCAAACTACAAGAAAAGAGATTCCATCTGAACATGAGGAAGAACTTCCTGACTGCGAGAATCGTGGAGAGTTCAGCAGTGGAACTCTTTGCCACGGAGTGTGGTGGAGGCTCCTTCTTTGGAAGCTTTTAAACAGAGGCTGGATGGCTATCTGTCAGGGGTGCTTTGAATGCAATATTCCTGCTTCTTGGCAGGGGGTTGGACTGGATGGCCCTTAGGGTCTCTTCCAACTCTGTGATTCTATGATTTTCTGCTTTGAAGTGGCAGTGTGGACTCAGGGCCCTTCCACACAGCCATTCGTTCAGTTGCTTCTGACTCTTTGTGACCTCATGGCATTGTGGACTCAGAAATTCCATTTCAAAGCAGATATTGGGCCTTTCCACACAGCCATATAACCCAGAATATCAAGGCAGATAATCCACAATAATCTGCTTTGAACTGGAATTTCTGAGTCCACAATGCCATATGATCCAGTTCAATTTGGATTATATACAGCGGTGTGGAAGGGGCCATTGTGGATTGTTGTTGTTGTTTATTCGTTCAGTCGCTTCCGACTCTTTGTGACCTCATGGACCAGCCCATGCCAGAGCTCCCTTTCGGCCATCGCCACCTGCAGCTCCTTCAAGGTCAATCCAGTCACTTCAAGGATACCATCCATCCATCTTGCCCTTGGTCGGCCCCTCTTTCTTTTTCCTTCTATTTCCCCCAGCATCATTGCCTGTGGGAATGGTGTCTAGACTGCAGTCCAGACACCAAAAGTAGTGGGTTTATCCCACACCTTCCAAGAAGGCGTGGAATAAATGCACTATCAAATTCACCACAACCCAGGGTTTTCCTGGTTTGTGGCGAATTAATTTGGGATTGTCCAGAATGTTGTCTGGACAGCCCCCTTTTTATTACAGTAGTTTCCGCAATAAAGCTACCGTCTAGATAGGCCCTGGGTTATCTGAGTCCACACTCAGATAATGTGGGATTTTCTGTCTTGATATTCTGGAATATAGGGCTGTGTGGAAGGGCCTCCAGTCCAAAGCAAATATTCTGGGTTAATAGGCTGCGTGGAAGGGCCCTCATATGTTCCACTTTAAAGCAGTTAATCTGGGATAATGGGTAGTAGGTGGGTGATGCTGGGCTTCCCTTTTACTGCTCGGACAAAGGCCTCTCTGCAGCTCCATACTAAACTAAAACAATAAAATAGTACAAATACGCACACAAAACAAAAGTAATAAAACACACACAGATTAAAAACACATTTTTTTTCTTTCTTCACGCCGTTACCCAGTGGCTTTCCATGGAAGATAGGATTCAAATCCGTAATAAAACCATAAAAGCAGAGCTTTTCAAGCACATCATGCTGGAGACACACTTTTTAGACATGCATCATTTTGCATCACAGTCATTCAGCTTTACTGGCAAACTAGAGGTTAAATCATAGAATCATGGAATCAAAGAGTTGGAAGAGACCTCATGGGCCATTCAGTCCAACCCTCTGCCAAGAAGCAGGAATATTGCATTCAAAGCACCCCTGACAGATGGCCATCCAGCCTCTGTTTAAAAGCTTCCAAAGAAGGAGCCTCCACCACACTCCGGGGAAGAGTTCCACTGCTGAACGGCTCTCACAGTCAGGAAGTCCTTCCTCATGTTCAGATGGAATCTCCTTTCTTGTAGTTTGAAGCCATTGTTTCGCGTCCTAGTCTCCAGGGAAGCAGAAAACAAGCTTGCTCCCTCCTCCCTGTGGCTTCCTCTCACATATTTATACATGGCTATCATATCTCCTCTCAGCCTTCTCTTCTTCAGGCTAAACGTGCCCAGCTCTTTAAGCCAACCAACAGTTTTAAAAGTTGCAGATCTAAAATCAATAAAAATGTCTTCTCCATTGCTAAAAAAATATTCTGGCACTAGGTGAGGTCAATATGAAAGATGTTCTAAGAATGAGGTACCATGACTGGAAAGCATCCCTTCTCTAATATCCACTTCACCTTATTCAACAGGCACATCCAGAGATGTCCTCAGTAGGTCTATTTGTTCAGGTAAACGACACCAAGCCATTTATGGATCTATTCAATTTTTCCTATTCCTTTTCCTTTAAATGGCTTTAGGAGTCTCACAGATTAAAAAGCAATAAATACAGTATAACATATAGCCCACCACAACAATTTGCAAAGATAATCAAGTGGACTGAGATCACTATTTAGAAATTATCCGGTTACATTCCATCCCATTCCTGGAGACAGAGGTGCACCAGTATGAGGTTGTACTAGACTTGAATATGTTTTCCACACTATATAGTACTATGGCATTAGATCACATCATTACGCAAATGTCTTGCA